AGGCAGGAGACTTGCTTGAGCCCAGGAGTTGGAGGTTGTTGTGAGCTGTAATGCCACGGCACTCTACCCAGGGGGACAGCTTGAGGCTCTGTCTCCAAAAAAAGAAAAAAAAGAAAAAAATATTGTAATGCAGTAGATAAACCCAAAGCAAAAACTAGCAGGCATGTTAGGATGGGGGTATATGTCCATCTTCTTTCGTTAACATTACCTGTAATAATAATATCTCACCATCTTTCTAATAATTACAATATACTTTTTTTTTTTTTTTTGAGACAGAGCCTCAAGCTGTTGCCCTGGGTAGAGTACCATGGCATCACAGCTCACAGCAACCTCCAACTCCTGGGCTTAAGCGATTCTCTTGCCTTAGCCTCCCAAGTAGCTGGGACTACAGGCACCCACCACAACACCTGGCCATTTTTTGGTAGTAGTTGTCATTGTTGTTTGGCAGGCCCCAGGCTGGATTCAAACCTGCCAGCTCTGGTGTATGTGGCTGGCACCTTAGCCGCTTGAGCCACAGGCGCCGAGCTTACAATATACTTTCCTTAAAATTAAACTTAATTTTTTTATTGTTAAGGATTTAATGAGGCTATAGAGAACCAGGTTGCACTGATTGCATACAATATACTTTTTAAACCACCACCATCTGGGAAGTAACCAGAGAAAGAAGAGTGACTCTCTGGCAAGTCAAGGAGATGACAGGTGCCTACTTGGAACTGACTTTCTGCTAAGATGATGTGGGTGGCTGCACAGGGGAGGGAACTGCGGAGAAATTGCTCACCCTGAGCAGGAAGTCAGAAGGATGTTCAGATAATGAGGCAGTGATGCGTTAGAACCCTAGCCCTGTTATCACAATTAAGTGTATGCATACATTTACTCTTACGGCACCTGAAACAGCCAAGGCCATCTCTCTTTGCTGAAAGAGAAATACTTCTTTTCCAAAGTATTGACAAAAAGAGGCAATTCCCACTCTCCCAGTAGGTCTGTAAATGGAACATTTCTGTGCCACAGAGTCATTGTTTTCCTGAGATGGGGCTAGTGAGCAGACAATTGAACGAACAGAAAGGGAAATACTGATAACCCAGCACCCTGATTTATTTTTATCTTTTTATTGTTTTGAGACAGAGTCTCACTTTGTCACCCTTGGTAGAGTGCCATGATGTCACAGTTCACAGCAACCTCAAACTCTTGGACTTAAGCGATTCTCTTGCCTCAGCCTTCCAAGTAGCTGGGACTACAGGCACCCGCAACAGCACCCAGTTGTTTTTTAGAGCCTGGGTCTGGCTCTTGCTCAGGCTGGTCTTGAACTTGTGAGCTTAGTAAAATCTACCCACCTCAGCCTCCCAAGTGCTAGGATTACAGGCATGAGCCACCGCACCCGGCCCAGCACCCTGATTTAATGGATGTTCAGAAATACAGGCTCACAATGTCTAGGCTTATCTACTTTGCTTCCTCTTGAGACTTCCAGCTGGGTCTCCAGACTGTCTCCAACTGGAGCCCAGGAAATTGTTTGGATCATGCTCCTTCAGTCCCCTGCATGGGTGTGCTGTTTTAGAGGGTGTAGCAGGTTGAATGATATCCCCCCAAAAGACACGGCCACACGCTAACCATTGGCACCTGTGGCCGTGACAGTGGGAAATTGTGTTGCAGATGTAATTAACTAAAAGATGTCATTCTCAGTAGAGTGCCCTGTTGTCTGTCACAACACCTGGCTATTATTTTTCCCTTGTTTAGCAGGCCTGGGCTGGGTTGGAACCCACCAGCCCTAGAGCACGTGGCCGGTGCCCTAACCACTGAGCACAGGCCCCCAGCTTCATCTTGATGTCTTTTAGTGAAGGCGCCCACCCCACTGTAGTCCCAGTGACTTGGGATTGGAAATTTCTGGGGTCTTTGCCTTCTGTCTGCTGGGATGGCCTGTCTGGGTGGGGTGTTTGCAGATAGTCCTGTCTCACATGGAGACTAAGAGGAGGGTAGAAAAGGCCCCAGGCCCCCATGGGACCCTCCACTATGCCCGGAAAGGTGGCTCTCAGCCACCCTGTTTCTAAGGCACAGCACAGCTTCTCTGCCCAGCACCAGCCTAATCCTTATCCCTACCCCTCGCCACTCTCTGAGCCTCTCTGGTGAGACCCCTCCAGGACATACAGCACTTTCACACCTCCTGACCTTTGCATTTGACCCTCCCTAGGCCTGGAATTTCTTTCCCTTCCTTCTCTCTGCCCAGCAAACACTTCCTTTGAGACTCAACTCTTTGAAGCTTGCCCTAGTCACCTCCCTCCACTCGCAGGCACAGGAGGTTGCCCAAGCCTGAAGCTGGCGCCCACTGACCTCTCTTCTCTCCTGAAGGCTCAGGCAGTTGACAGGGAGCTCCCCAGAGGGAGAGAGGCCTCTTGTTCACTTGTCCCCTAAGGACCTGCTGAGCTTTCTACCCTAAAAGAGAGGCCTCTTGTTTCACTCTGCCACCCTGGGAGCAGGACCCAGCCTGCAAATTAGGCTTTGTGGAATAAAGGCATTTGATCCTGGAGGGAAGGAAGGAGAATCTCTGCTTCTCGGGCAGTGGGACCTGCTCCAAACAACACTTAGCAGGCTGCTCCTGCCCTTTGTTCCTGTCTAGCCTCTTCCTGAAGGGAGTGTGTTGTGTGCCTGCATGTGTGTGCATGTGCACGTGTGTGTGCCTGTGTGTCCGGAGATATCACAAACTCTGCCCACAGGAGCAATAGGACAGGGGAAGCCCCAGGGGCCCAGGGAGTATTGGGGGCCTTGGTGAAGGGGACTCACCCAAAGAAGTGGCCACAGCTCAGCTCTGGGAGAGCCTACTTGCTAAGAGGAGCAGGGAATTTTTACTTTTAAGTGAAATCTTCAGATTTTTAAGTGTTGTCCTAAATTCATAAGATGCCAAGAGGGTCAAAGGATGTCTGCTGGCCTGGGCCTCGGGCCACCTTGCTGAGTAGGGGTGAGAAGAGAGGCACTCAGCCAGGGGACCCTGTCTCACACACCCTTACCTGCCCTCCTTCCCAGAAGTGTCACTCCCACTGCGAGCAGGTGTGCTGGAGAATTTCCCCAACACCATCGGCCCCGCCCCTCAAGAGAATGCTGAACTTTACCAGCAAGACCAGAGCTGGTGCCCTCATGAGGGGGCCTCTGGAGCCTGAAGGGGCATTTGCTGGCCTGGAGCTCAGACCTGGGGAGGTTGTGGGACTTGCTGGAGGTGGTGCAATCAGCTCCGGCCTAGAGGCAGCATGGACACTCCTGGTGGCCTGCCTGGGCCCATCTGTCAAGCTGCTATTGCTGCCCTGTCACAGAGACATGGCATACTGCCCTTAAGCAGCCCGGCCACACTAAGAACCATACTCCATCCAGTTACCTTCCACTCAATTTTCCAGAACTCACTCCCTCCCTCCCTCTCCACACACAACCTCTACACCCTTGGAGGCTTTCTTTGTAACCTTCTAGTTTCACACAGTACTGAACTTGGGAGGGAATTCAGTCACCAGACTAGAATACTAGCAAAAAATAACTTAAGTATGAGTGTGTTCTTTCATGTGAGTTTTAAAAAGTATAACAAAATAAATAAATTGAGTAGCAGAGAGAGTAACTTTACAGATGATAAATTCCTTTCCTTGGAGTCTGTAGCCTCAGGAGGGAGGGATGGACGCTGACAGTCATTTTGGGCACCCAGACAGCAGCAGGCAGCCCCTGAAGGCTGGAGATTCTGGGGCACTGGGAGAAGTGACCCAGTCTGTCACATGCCTGAGATTCTATCAGCCAAGTGCTGGTTGCGAGGGTGGCTTTCCCCTCTTCTAAAGAAACTTGTTAAAATGTAAATACTCTGGGAGGGAGAACCGGTCCCTGCTGCCTACCCCCATGTGCTGCCTGGCCAATGGCTGGGGTGCCACAGGGTTATTTCTGGGTAGATAGGTCTGAGCAGAGTCTGAGAGGACAGGGTGGTGGGGGCAAGGGTGTGCTGCAGAAGGAGCCCCCTCATTTGGGAGCACAGAAGTGGCTGCTAAGCTGGCCTGGGAGTTCCAGAAAGGCTTCCCAGGAAGAGGTCTTCATGTGGGGTCCTGAGGCAGAAGTCAGTGGGCAGCTTAGTCAGACCAAAAGCAGGGGAGTCCAGGCCGGCCAGGCAGAGAGCCCAACCCCTGCAAAGACCTGTAGATAGGACCTGAGGGAGCTCAGGATGGGGTGGGCGGAGGTGGGAGCCACGCCCAGGAGGATGGGAGCCATGCTTAGGAGTTTGCTCTTCTTACCATGAGCACTTGGGGAGCCACTGAAGGCTCTGTATAGGGAAGGGAAGTCATTAGAGCTGTCACACAGGAAAAGGAGCCTGGTGGTCAGGGATGGAGAGGAAGAGTGGGGCCAAGCAGGAAGCAGGTGCAGGGATTCTGGTGAGGGACGGTGCTGCCTAGACTTGGCTTGTCACATGCAGGAATAGAAGGTGAGCAGTCCAGAGCGGGACAGAGAGCCATGCCTTGATCCATCCCAGGCCCTAATCATCCAACCTCTGTCCTTGATAGCCAGACTCATCCCCCTCCCTGCGCCCATCCCCTTGCCCACTGCCAAGCAGACGGATCCAGTGGATACCTGGCTGGCCCGGGCGATGCAGCGGCGGACGAGATCCCGGATGTTGTTGTGCTTGTCCATCTGGAAGTACACGGTGGCGCTGGACTTCTCCCTCAGGTAGGGCTTCTCAGCCGACGTCCAGGTGTGCAGCAGGGCCGGCTCGCTGCCCTCCGAGGCCACGGGGAAGTAGGTGCCTGACTGCAGGGAGCTGGAGTCCAGCCCCTTAGTGCCTGCCTCGGCTCCTCCCGGGGGGTCCGCGGCACAGGGGGGCTCCTTGGCCTGGGCCTGGATGTACTGGGCCTCCACTGAGGACAAGAAGTCCACCTCACCCTCCTTGCTGAGCGCCCGCCAGTAGGCCTCAGGACCCCCATCCAAGAGGGCATCGGTGGCTAGCCGGGCGCTCTCGTTGTCACTGAAATCAGCGCGGGCTGGCCGGACCCACTGGCTCTTGACATCTTCTAGGCGTTTCCGGATCTTGCCCACGTGCCTGGGCCGGCTCATGCTGCCCTAGGTCGTGGTGGGGCACTTGTGCTCTATCAGAATTGGGGAGCCAATGGGCCATACCACAGAGGAGCGGGGCTCCCAGTGCTGGCAGGCAGGGCACTGGCTACCCCTCCTCGCCACTGGGAGAAGTGATTTGCCTGTGTCCTGAACAATGCTCAGGGATCGTCATCTGCAGAGAGGGATTGGCTTATCTCAGAGGGACACCTGCCCTGCCCCCGGGCCAGGAGGGCTGGCTCAGTCACCGCCTTGGCACAGTCAGCTCTGGGATATTTCCTCTCCTCCCAGTGCAGGGGGAGGTGAGCCAGCTTTCCCACTGGGTTTCACAATCCAGGAGCCCAGAGCCCTCGGGCCTTTGTTACCAAGCAGGGAACCTCCCCTGCATCTTCAGCCCAGCCAGAGAGGGGCCTGGAGGAGGGCTGCCCATGCCACTGTCCCCTTGGGCTCCTTGGCGCGCTGCTGCTGGTTCAAAGACCAGAGTTTCCTGGTGGGGGAAAGGTGCTGTCCTGAGGGGCACAGTGTGAGGAGGGAGATGGTGCAGGCCACCGATAACAGTTCACCAGACCCCTCCCGTACTTGGTCACAACTGAGGGCCCGCCTTCCTGACCTGGGAAGGGGCACCTGTCACCCAGCTCCTGTCATGTGCTTGTCATTGTCATGTTTACACAGAGTCCGCAAAGATGTTCCAGTTCCAGGGCCAGAGCTGACCTGTTGGAAGTGGGGGCTTGGGACACCACCTGAGAATATCCAAGGCTGTGTCTAGGCCGATATGACCACAGGACTGGTCGGTTGTGGCACTGGAGAGGAGGATGGCATCAGGGTTTGGAGTCTCGGAACACACGCTCTGAGGGAGTGTCCACATTTTCTTTCCAGATCAGATCATGGCCTGACAGAGGGATGGAAAACCTAGAATCCTGATTGTCTTTGACTGGGTTCTGCAGGAAACAAGCTGAGACTAGGGTTTGGGTGCCAGTAATTCACTGGAAGGTGATTCTGAGAAGCACAGGGAAGGGAATGGGGAAGTGAGCAGGAAGAAATGACGTCAGGCCAGGGGAAGATGATGAGCAGGTTACTACTGTGTATCAGATTCCTGGGGGTCATGGGGGTCATCCATGGGGGTCATGGATGTCTGGAATTCAGTCCTATGGGACCCTCTGAGTGACAGTGCAGAATACGTTTCAGACTTTCCCCCCTCAAAGAGTGAGGAAGCTGCAGCATTTACCTATAAAGCCCCATTTATCACTGGAAAGGGCTTCTCCTGGGGGTTGTAAGTTCACCAAACACAGCTGTGAAGCCAGAGAAAGCCTGAGGCAGGAAGTCTCAGGTGCTCACAAGCAGAGACTGTGATGGGAGTGGTGAGCAACAGAGGGACCCAGGAAGGTTCTGGCAGCAAAAGACGCCAGGAAGCCAGGACTGCACGGTCTTTAAAGACCTGGGATGTGTGGCCAGGTGCAGTGGCTCACATGTGTAATCCCAGCACTCTGGGAGGCTGAGGTGGGTGGATTGCCCTGAGCTCACAGGTTCCAGACCACTCTTAGCCAGAGCGAGACCCCACCTCTAAAAATAGCTGGGCGTTGCTGTGGGCACTTGTAGTCCCAGCTACTTAGGAGGCTGAGGCAAAAGAGTTGAGCCCAAGAGTTTGAGGTTGATGTGAGCTATGACGCCACAGCATTCTACTGAGGGCAACAAAGTGAGACTCTGTCCCCCCCCCCAAAAAAAAAGGAAAAGAAAAGAAAAAAAAGAAAAGACCTGGGATGCGGTAGGGGTGGATGTCCCAGTGGCATATGGGCTCTTTGGAGGAAACCAGGCATGAGCAGCTGTAGCCCTCCTGAAGCGGCACCCAGGTGGCTGGGCCCAGTAGCACAGTGGTGTTTTCTAAAGCACAGTGCAAAGAGGAGGAAAGTAATTTGAAAGGAATTTCTTTTCTCTTTTGAGGGATGTTGAAGGAATCTGATTCACAATCTTGGGCAACCCTCCTTTATTCTATTTTGTCTCCTCCTTACAATCCCTGGAGCCTCTAAGTGGACAAATCCGTAAACCCTCGTCTGCCATCACCTCCTTGGCGCCACGCCCTCTCCCTCTCTTCTGCCAGCTTGTTTCTGGAGGTTAACACAAACTCTTCTCCCACTTCCTCCTCTCCCTGTCCCTCTGAGTCTTTTCTCTGATTCTGCATCACACAAGTCCAGTCCCCAGCCTAGTGAGGCAGGATTTTTCTTGCTCCCTAATGAACATTTCAACTTGGCTTCTTCTGTACTCAGCTCTTAGCCATCATTGCATAATCAATCCCCGTGCTAAGGGAGAACTGAATTATTAGGGTTCACTTCCCAGAATAAGGTTCAGAGAGGTTGAGTAACTTGCCCAAGATCACATAGTCCATAAATGGCAGACCCTGGGCGCTGGAACTGCAGAGCCCACTGACTTTCCACTGTGCCAAGCTCTTTCCCCCCAAATTCCCCTTCCCTTTCTACTCTCAGAGGATAACAAATCCTCTTATTGGTTACAGAATGTGTATAGGGGAGAATTTAAAAAGTGGGTGAGTACTCTGAGGTTCTCCTCACACCTGGATCTAATTCTCCTTCTTGGATGAATAAGTGATTGAGTACTTATTCAATCAAGAAAAGAGAGGAACCTTCTTCTCTAGACCCCTGTTTCTCCTGTTCCCAGCTCTTGGACCTCACACAGACCCAAGAGACACTGGCTGAATCCTTAGAACAGCTGGCAAACACCCTGCGTGCATTGGTACCACTAAGCCCCCATCCTGGCACCCCGACAGACAGTATTAGTTAATCACAGAACTCTTTCCCAGTGGGCCAGGGATTATGTCCTCACCTGTCTTTTTAGGGATTGTCTTAGTCCATTTATGCTGCTATCATAGGGTACCACAGAATGGGTAATTTATAATTAACAAAAATGTATTTGGCTCATGGTGCGGAGGCTGGGAAAGCCAAGAGCAGGGTGCCGGCCTCTAGTGAGGGCTTTCGCACCGTACCACCCCGTGGCAGAAAGCAGGAGGGAGAGAGCAAGAAGGCCAAACTTGCTTCCACAACGCATGTGCCCCCACAAGGATGACATGAAACTATTAATCTGGGCAGAATACTTGTGACTACTCACCCCTGAGTAGGGCCCACCTCCCAACACTGTAGCCTTGGGGATTAAGTTTCCAATACATGAACTTGGGGGGACACTTTCAGATCAGAGCGGGATCAAAGGGAAGGCCTCACCTGGAAGGACTCTTAAAGGTACAGCAAGGTTTCAGTTTACTGAATTTCTGATGAGACAACTGCGGCTCAGAAAGGGGAAGTGACTATTCTCCAAGTCACCCAGCTGGTTGGTGATTGTTGTCAGCTTAGTCCTCATCTCTGCAGCCCAGCCCTGGGAGATGTCATCATCTTGCTGGGTCTGCCTGCTGTGATGACAAACTTCCCTTCCTGGGATTGCACTTTGGAACCAGGGTGCACATTCTGGGCAGTCACTGGCCCTGTGCACTATGGAGCACTTTGGTTGCCTCCTTGCCACTGGTGGGACAGAATGAGGTGCCGGGCTCCTATCAGCAAGTGAGTGGTACTGGGGCTTCCTAAGAATCCTGTTTATCTAGCACAATAGTTCTCAACTGGAGACAATTTTGGCTCCCAGGTGACATCTGGCAATGAATTGTAGACATTTTTGTTTGTCACTGGGGAGGGGGTGGTTTTGCTAACTGACATGGGTGGGGTAAGCCAGGGATGCTGCCATATTCTACAATGCATAAGACAGGCCCCCAACACAAGAGCCACCCTGCTCAGAACATCAGCAGTGCTGAGGCTATGGAGCACTGGACCAGGGCTAGCCCTTGTGGATGGGTGACACTCACCTAGTGTCCTGCATTTGTTCAGTCTATTCCCTCCAGCAGGAAGTCTTTTCCTCCACTATCACAGATAACTCAAATCTTTCTTAGCATCTGAGAGGTCTGTCTCCCATCCTAGAGGTGCTGACAACTCCCAGGTGGCTATAATTGTTCTCTGAGAGCGCAAGGTGCTTGCATAACGTGTCTCAGGCATCTGGTCCCAGTCACAGGTGTTCTGCCTCATCGTCCACTGCCACTTCAGTGGTATGATACAATGGTAAAAGGCTCGCCTGGGCTTTGGTGATGGGCACAACCAGGTCCAGATTGTGCCTGTGGTAACATGTGACCTTGGGTAGGTAACTTAGAGGACCTCACTGAACTTCACTTTCCCAGCCATATAATAACAGCTGACATTTATGGGGCATGTCCTGTGTGCTAGGTGCTGTCTAGGTGCCTTCCATGTGCTGACTCATCAGTCCTCCTGACAGCCCTATGAGTACATGCTAGCACTGTATGTTTCATGGATGAAGGAAATCAAGGCACAGAGGTGATGTCAAAGGGCATGGGAGCTAAGGGAGCTGGATTGGGTGATCAATGAGCAAGCCCCACCCAGTTTCCACTCAGCCCTTCAGCCTAAGCATGCCAATGTGTCTTCTAAGCTTTTTTCATAGTTGATGTTATATTGTCCAGCAATTTTATAACTTGACTTCTTTTTTGCTTAATATTAGTCAGAAGTGCATTTTTCATGTGATTAAAAATGTGCATGTTCCCCTTCCACATCTTCCATTTCTTTTCTTTCTGAACAATTTAGTCTTAAAGCCATTGGGTGATCAGAGCAAGGTGGGCATCAGTGGTAAGGAAGGGGCTTGGTGGCTAGGAGCAGGTGTCAGAGCCAGAGTGGGATGAGGAGGGGTGGTGGGGTGAGGGGCATCCTCCTAGGGGGTAGTCAGAACCCAAGCAGGACCAGGAGGATGTCCTTGGAGAGACAGGAGACAAGGGAGGGGGACAGCCCACAAAGGATGTCAGAGACTGAGCTGGAAGGGGTTGGGGAGAGATGAGAGATCGAGTGTATACAGTGGCAATGATCGAACAGGTAAACATATTAAGGATAATGGAAGCCAGCTTTCCTACTGTCAGAGGAGGGGGTTACAAATACAGAAGGAGGGGAACCCAAACGGACTCGTTAGTGTTGAAAATGAACAGGAGGTACTGATTTGTACTGAGTTTCAATCAAGATAAATTTAGAATTAAAACAATGTA